TAATAATTGTTATCATTAACATCATCACAATCACTATAATCATCATAATTATTTTCTGTATCATCATCACTGCAACAGGTGGGCGTCTGTGAGAAGGGTAAGCCGGGAAACATCCGCAGATTCTTCAGTTTCATCGAGAAGCTGGACTCCAGCACGCTGGGTGAGTCGAGGTTTTTGTTTTTTTTCTTGTTTTTTCTGCCTTTTCCCATCATAAAGATAATTTTTTTTAATTGCGTCGTTCGCCTTATGGTTAGGCTCTGGGACTCGTTAGCGTAAGGTCGTGGGCTCGAATTCAGTCAGGGACCCGATGTTGTGTCCTCTGAAAAGGTACTTTACAGTACATGAATTTTCCTCACTTTACCCATATGGGAATGGGTACCCAGCTATAGACAGAAAGATCTTGTCGGTTTGTTAGTGTTTGAGTGTGTGCAATCCGCAGCTTACACTGTATGCTTCCCGGGAAGCTGAGAATGTTTCTGAGTGTTCTAGGGTCTGCTGGGGCAATATAGTTGTAAAGCACACAGAGCTTGCTGTAGAGCATGGATAAACTCGTGTGTTTGCTTGACATAAGACCTCTGTTTGACATGAGACCGCTGCTTTAAAGTGCCTCCTTCCTTAAAACTTTCTCATCATTTTTCTTAGAGCGTATGAGTTTTAGACTCTAGAAAGTGGGTGGTTGGCGGGTGCTCTGGTGTGGTTTGCTCCTTCTTTCCTATGAAAAATCTATCGTCCTTATCTCCCCTCCTTTTTTGTGTTTGTTGTTACTCTTTTGTAACACCTCTAATCTTCGGCACTTATATGACCTTATTGTGCTGCAAGTGCCGTAAAACTCTTACTTTAACTAAAAGACTCCAGAAATGCTGTACATGGGTTGTTGGTTTTTTTCGCTGATAAATCAGTCAAAGTCTTTTCCCTTTACTCTTAAAATTGTACGTGTAGGTGTCAAGTCACGGTGACTTTTGCAGCAGGCTGTTTGTCCACACATCAACATCTTCTGTAGTTGTCTCTACGTCTTTGTGCATTTTGAACGCTCTGTCTTTTCTGTATTCTGTGTATGAAGGTTTTCTTAGCCGTGGCATGATTTCGACAACCTTTTGGCCCTTAGGTTTTCTCTGTACGGGCCTTACACTCGAGCATCGAAAGTACATGTGCACATAGCAAACACATTATCAGGTCCCAAATAGTTTCTTACGCTTGTATTTCTATATGTTTTGAGATATATACATAGTGTAGCGAAATTCCTACATAATGATAAAAATTTCTGCACATAGCAAACACATCATGAGGCCCTCAATTTTTTCTTATTATACAAGTAAGTCTATTTGTATGTATTTTGAAATGCTAATAGAAAAATCCAATTTAAAGAAGAAATGTCCGTGTTCAGCCGATTTTGCTCTGTGAGTGTTAGACTGAATGCCTTTTTAGTGGAGAATTGAGAATTGAACGCTTTTTTTAACAAGACAGGGGGATGACATTTGCTGTTGGAACTGAAATATCTTTTGGATTTGATGGGGAGTGAAGACAGAAGGGTGTCTCTTTTGTTCACTATAGCTGTCAAATCTTATTAAGTTCTATACAAAATACATTTTCCTGGCTTTGATTCTTACCCTGCTGCTCTTTGACTCTGTCCTGTTCTCTCGCAGTAGACGCGCATAGACTGAATGACAGTTTTGTTAGTTTAGGCCAGGACTTGGCAGTCCACTCTTTCTTTCAATGCATTGATCTTTTCTCATTTCCGGCATCGTTTTTAATCCTGTCCTTTTTCCCCACCCCCCCTCCCTGACCCCTCACTC